ATTAAATGTGTTTCTGTTAAGCATCTGCAATGGGGTCAGTACCTTTGCTCATTATACCATGTCTTTTTGGCCTGTACTCTCTACTTTGGCAAAATCATATTGAGGGACACCACAAGGCTGATCTATAGGTTTTCTGCCTTGCTACCTACTCATCTATAATTTCAGAGATTCAACTCTCTTGTGCAGTGTGTGCTGAAGAGACTTAGAATCCCATCCTCCCTATTATGTCATACACCCTTCTGTTATCTCTCACAGCCTTCTCTTCCTGTCTCCCTCCCAAGTTTTGTCATAGATTTGCTTCATGCTCTGTCTGTGGCAGCCTATGGAAGGCTAGGGATCCCTTCTAATTCCTCCAGTTTTGCTTGTACAGCATCCTGAGTTCAACAACTCATAGGAACTGGTCTGACACTCTGAAGTGTGGTTTCCCAGGTTCTGTGGTGATTGTTCCAGGTCATCTAAATTGATCTGTTTCCCTGCTCCCTATGAAATGGGGCCTCAGTTTAAACTCTCACAAACTTCATCAACAGCCATAAGCCCAAAGGATGGGGACATAGAAGAATTCTTTTGACAACCATTGAGACCAGATAGAATGACAGACAAATCACAGACAAGTGAGTCTTAGTAGGTTATTTGGTTCCGTCCCGTGTCTCTAGGGTCAGAAGAGAATGGATTTTGTTATTACCTGAGGGAAACCGAAAGGACTAAAGAGGGAGGGAGCAATTCAGTGCCACAGGGTCCAAATCAAGGGAGTAATATTACTCCAGGCAGAGACAAGACACACAAAACAACAAAAAAGTCAACATTTTTGCCAAACCTTAGGGATAACAAGGAAGACGGGCGAAGGATTGACTCATTTAGGACCGTCAGCTTGGCCCCACCACTGTACACTCAACACTGTGACACAGACACCTGCAAAAGCACCTTCTTTCCTTGCCCCTTCCCCTACACTCCCCAGCTGCAGCTGTGCTCAAGGCAACCTTGATGGACCTGGGCATCCTGCGTCATGGTGACCTCAGTAAAAGATAACCAGTTCATGATGCCTTTCTTGAAAGGAGCTTCCTTTCTTGGATATAGCCCCATGAAAATTTGAACGTCTCCTGTCTACCCTGTATATTGTCAGATTGTTTTGCAGGAAATAGAGAAGCAGAGAGAAGTACTCAATGATAGCTTGGGGAGCTAGTGGGCTGCATGGGTACCTTGAAATATCCCCTAGAATGAACAACTCAGCTGCTATATCTCTCCTCTGACTAGGAATTAGAGGAGTTATTGGTGTATCTTAGGAGCTTCCAGCAGTCACAAACACACTTACATTTCATAATTTCAAACATCATTCAATCTTTCTACATACTAAGGAATAACACCCCAGAAACACCAGTATGCAACACTATGGCTCCATTACACTTGTGGACATTTGATGACAATTTGACTGTTTTATGATAGGATGGAATTATCCTTGATTTCTCTTTAGCTTTGATAGGAATTAAGAGCAGTAGCTCATGATTTAGAGATGATAAGATATGATATCTGGAGTAAACTGATGGTGTAAGGGAGGAGTTTTTCTGTTTTGATCAAAATCTGGGGTGAACTGAGTAGAGGTTGATTGATGTGAACATGTGGGTTTTAAAAACTGTCTCCTAGGTTATTTTGTGTTCGCAGTTCTCAGAGGATTGTGTCTGGGTTGTTGTGGTTAGGCACAAGCTTCATGCAGTCTTCTTTTTGTCTTCTCCATTATTGACGAAGTTCCGTGGTATTGCAGGTGGTGTCTTTGTATTGACTGGTCCACCAAGGAGCTCTGCTGAGAGCAGCATCCACATCCCTGATGATCTAGAGATTATGGAGTCCCCAAGTTATGGGTGGTGTGGACTACCAAACTTGGACTGGGCTTGGACAATTGAAGGCAGACTTTGCCTATGTCAGGGTCTGTGGCAGATATCAATCTGAGGTGCATGGAAAGATGTGGATGCATCTAAACAGAGGTGGGCACCTGGAATAGTAGTTTTTTAGAGCTTGAACTACCAGAATACATGCCTTCCTGGAGTTCTCAGGTAACACTCACTGTACCTTACCATTTTGTGACCTGACCCTGATTCTAGACCTGAATTTGACTCTGAATCAGCTCTTCTTAGACAACTACAACGTACCAGCCTTAATCAGTCTTAGATACTCTCTGGCTGTAGCCTGACTTTAGTTGTCAAGACACATCCTGATTCAGATCCTAGGCTTGTGCTAGCATTGACCTTGAGGACACTTTCACTTCATATACATCAAATCATACACAGACCTCATCTCATCTCATCTCATATCCTTGCACATGTGACCATGAACAACAATGTCTTCAGTAATAGCGCAAGATCCCTATTTTGGTTGGGAAATTCAATAGGATTCTGGACTTGTTAGTAATATTATAATTGTTTTACTGCAGAATACATTAGCCACTTTACTTAGCTGCTTAGTATTGTGGTAATCTTAATAATGCCCCCTGTACTCTCCACTGTCATTTCTCTCTAGGACTTCCTTGTAAGTGGGTAGTTGTGACCCTTCACCTGGTGATTCCTCTTCCTTATGGTCCATCCTAAAGAACAGAGAATTTCAAACTCTGGACTTTGATCATGGACTTGGCTCAGGTGTCTGCTTCCCTTCCCATGTTCCTTCCTTCAGCCTACCTCTAGGCCCATAGAACCACTTCATTTCTTCTGATATCATCTCAGTTCACACCACCTCTGTTTACCCATATATTATTCTCTTCTTAGGTGGGCAAGGAATACATCCCAGGTGCCACTCAGCAGAGTCACCCATGTGCTCTAGATTGTAGTCCCCACCCACAGAGAGTTCATTTATTATTTTCATTAGTTGAATGTGTGGTATAATGGGGAAATGGGATCTCATGATGCAGCTGCACTTACCCTTAGAGATGCCAGTAGGCTTTACAAATCTCAGATGATGTGTGATTTGGTGTATTGAAATTATAATTGAAGGGAGTATGAGAGCCACCTGGGGTGGGATTGAATGATGGAGGGCATATGGGGTATTGTATAAGTGGAGAAAGGTTGACTTATTGACAAGATCCCCTTGAAGAGTGATGCCCTAATGGATGCTCACAGTGGCATCCAGTTTCCCACTGGATGCCAGAATTCCCTCATTTTCACAAGCAGAACCCAAGGTGACTGAGAATTACATACAAAATAAGAACAAATGAGGTAGAGAGGATTTCTGATAGACTACAGATACTTCAGTCAAGTTCTTTGTGTTCAGAGTGAATGCCTGAGACAGCTAAGGGTAGGAGAGGAAATGACTTCCTGTGATCCTTCAGCTTTAGTCCCTGAGGCTAGGATGAGGGTCAGGAACTTAGGAACACTGCAGGGGACACACTCTTCTCCATGGTGTTCCCTTTGTGCATGACCTAGCAGCTGCATTTACTGTGAGATTTTCAGTAGTCAGGTAGCTGCAGGCCATGTACTTGTTGTTGCTCTGTTTGGAGGGTATCTGTGCTCTGGGTGACAAGGTTGTGATGTGCCTTTGAGGTCGCCCTCACTGTCTCCATGTAGAATTCATTCATTAGCGAGGTTAGTATGGGGTTGTTGATCTGCAGCTCTTAGGGGAGGTTGGGAACAGAATGACCGAGGGAGTATCCTTGGGCTGACAAGGGGAAGAGAAGAAGTAATGGAGGTGAGAGGTCTGCTGTGTGTCATGCCTTTTCTGACCTCAGGCTCTAAGTGATGCACAGGCATGAGATCCACGGAGGGAATTTTTCCCATGCCCCTCCTGGACTGAGTTAGAACTTGAGTGGCAGAGGACACTCACTTATGGGACACTCCCAGGAGCCTGACTTTAGGGGAGTCCCATTCTTCTTAGAGCTCAGACTCTGGTACAGATTCACTTGCCCTTATTACCTGTACCTCCATCATTCTCCTCAATTCTGAGTGGCCATGCCCTGTGCCCTCATCTTTCCTCAGGGCTTCTCTATCTGGACATCTCTAGATCTTCATGCAGGTGTCTGTCTGCATATACAGCTTCCCTACTCTCTTCCCTCCTCAGAGTCATTTTCTTGCCCACAAATTTCCTGGCACCCTATTGCAAGAACCCTCTGCTGCATTATGGGGAGGTTCTCCAGTCCTGTGGCTGGATTCCAGGGAGTTAAGTAAACTAAATGCTTCCATTGGACTGGGGATGATCCTGAACTGGAATCTTTTAAGGTTCTTCACTGTCGCCTGAAGGTCTTTTGGGGGAACTTATCTTCTTAACACATCTTCCTGTCTGAACAGATTCCTGACACCAATTCCTCTTAGGACCCCTTTCCCAAGCATCTGCTCTGAAGTCCTTATTCCACATGTAGAATGTGGAGGTACCTCTGTTGGGATCTTTGAGTACTGTGCACCTTGGTATGCAAGTCTTCCTGCCTGGGGGAGGTGGAGGCAACCTGTAGCTGGGTCTATCTTCTCACAGGAAATATATACTCCATTCTTCCTCCTATCTTATTTGAGCCCCCTTTCATTCATTAAGGGCATTCCCATAGCTGGGACCATGGAGAACTGACCCCTGAAGGCTGATCACATCCCTAAAGATCCAACCTGAATTCCCTACTTCCATGGACTGTGGAATCTGGCCACCTTGGCAAAATAGAAGGTTGATACCCCAAAGTCCAGCACAGAGGAACCCCTTGAGAAGATTTGTGGGGTCAGAATGATGCCTCAGCAGGGAGCAGGAATAGCCCATTGGATTTGTACCATTCTGGCCAGGCAGATGACTGAGAGAGGGGAAAAGTGGGAAGAGGTGAATGGCCAGTGAGGGGGCATGAATCTTACAAACACTCTGATGGTTTGAAACCCCAACTATGGTAGGATAGGAACAAGAGAAAAACCTACCCAAATAACCCTGGTCCCCAAAGGAGAGAGAAAGAGGGTTACCTGTGGATGACAGTCAACGTGTCAACTAGGTTCCTCCACCAAAGAAAACACACAGTGACACATACGTACACACAAACCTCTTTTTGTACCACTTACCAGGCCCACATGAAAGTGCAATGGAGTCATAGCTTTCAGCCTTCTTTCATGGAGGCTGCTCAGGCCATGGTTATCCTTTCTTGACCTGGAAGATCACTTGTTTGCAGGCTGTGGAATCTCTCCATCCTGAGTCATGGATGGGATTGAGCAGAATGTCTGTCTGTGGAAGCAGTGCTCCCAGATATTGGCATTGCACAGAGTGATTTGGCTGTTCCTACTGAGCTGGTTGGTATTCACATTTCAAGGAGCAGGACAGAATGGAGCAGGAAGAAGAGAAGGAGGATCAGGGAAAGGAAGAGGAGGACATAGAAGGAAGAGGAGAGGTCTTTTCCCAAGACAGAGATGATGGTGGTGCTGGGACTCATGTATGCAAGCAGAACTTATGATGAGTGCCCTGGATGCCTCCATTTCAGCACAGAATTGGAACAGGGACAAATTTTGGATTGGGATTGGGTTGGGTGGGTCAATGAAGAATCATGTTTCCCAGCAATGACCCAAATGCTACAGAGAATTATTGATTCCCAGTATCCAGTGTCAGTTGGGCTGTCCTGAAGGTACAATGTGTGGTCATTATTCAAGTTGCTTCCTAAGGTGGTGGGGCAGCTGCCTTCTGCATAGAAGAATGCTGCTTCAGAACTGGATTGGTCTGAGGGGAACTCCTGGAGGCTTACTGTAGCTTATGCTACTCTAAATGTGGGTGAGGGGGTCTCTGCGGTCCCCCTGGACTTCTCTTGCTTATATGCACACATCTGTCCACATTTCCTCTGCCATCTCCTCTGTGACATGTGGAACAGCCAACCTATACTCATGATTTTCACCTGTTCTTGGTACACACCACAGCCTGGGCTCACAGCTTATTCTACATTGGAATAACATATGGACAGTAACATTTGTAGATAACACAGCTTTGATATTCTTCCTTATCCTAACCTATTACCTGCAGAAGTAACACCTAGACACACTAGTGACAGACTGTACTCCTGACAGTGTCCCCCTCATAAACATCCTTCCTATTCCCCTGATATCCTCCTGCTTCTACCTGAGAAGTCTCATTCCAAAACCTCCTCTTGTTCCCTTTGTCACGCTTGGCCAGGACAAGAAATACCTTCTCTTCTCCATGTTAATATTCTGAACTGAAGACCCACAGCTTCTGTTTCTTGACCCTTCCAGGAGATGCTCACCACAGCAAAGTTGTACTTGGATGAATATTACTATGTGTGTGTGTTTTTTGTGTGAAAGTGTGTGATTCTTTAGGGGTATATGTGTATATGTATGTATATGCATGGATCAGTGTGTGTGTTTGCACAATAGCTCAGATCCTAAAGCATGTTAAGAAGATGAGTTAGGGGATGGGAGCATGGTTCAAGTGATAGAAAATCTGTCTAGTAAGTGTGAGATACTTATTTCAAACCCAGTATCTCCAAAAAATTGAAAAACAGTGAGTTGACTTGCATACAAGCCATGGCAGAATCCCAGTATCATACTCCTGACTTTGAACTCAACAGTCTCATTGACAACCAAAGGACACCCAGAAATTGGGGGACTTGTGATGGATCAGTTGAGATCAGAACGGATTCCTGTATGCCAAGGCCTTAAACACATTTGGGAAAGAGGGCTATCTAGAGATCAGGGCAGCAGAGGAGAAATGGAGATATGGTCAGGTTCCAGTTGGTGAGCATCCTGTGAGAAGTACTGCAAGGGAGGTCCTCTGTGACCCAAGTGTTTGAGCCTGAGGAATCAGGAGCAGAGTATACCTGAAAGGAAGAGAGGGATCTGTAAACTGTCAGGACAGAGCTTTAAAGGTGGGGTAAGGGAGACTGAGAAGGCATGGCCTAGTGTATGTCTATTCCTTCAGAAGAATATTAGCTGTGAAAACTGAAGACTCCAGGGAGAGAGTACTACCTTCTGTAAGACAGATGATCCAAAGAGACATTGAGCCTGGCATGGGTGGTGGACACGAGTAATTAATCTGGGAGATGGAGGCAGGAGAATCATAAATTAGAACCCAGCCTGGACTACATAGTGAGTTCCAGGCCAGGCTGGGCTATGTAGCCCAGACAACAACAACAAAATAACAAAAACCATACAAAAATTAACAATGGCAATAACAACCCCCTTGCACTGTCTCCCCCCAAAAAACTCGAGAAACAAAGCAACAAAGCAACACAAAACATAAAGATTGACTCTGGGAAGTCAAATGTGTGCAGGTCTGCACTAAAGCAAGAAGCAAAGAGGGAGGTGGGTTAATTCCTTCAGTCTGGGTTCCTGCTAAGGACCATTCCCTTCTGAAACATCCCATGGGGTTATGGCAAGAAAGAAGAAAGCACTGGGAGTCTTTTCTTGTTTTTTTTCTTTTGCTGAATTGATGGTGATAACCATTGGAGATGTTCTTATTTAGGATGGTAAATAAATAAAATGAGCAAAGACCATATTTTCTGATTGAAAAGGAGGGGTATTTTTCAGAATTAATAAGGTTGAGATAAAGGCTCAGACTGATTTGGTAGAGGAGAGACACCCTCCCTGGAGTTCTTCTGCTTTAGACTCCTGAGGGCATGATGAGGTTTGAGGACCTAACAACATTCTTCAGGGGACACACTCTGATCCACGGTGTTCCCTTTGTGTGTGATCTGGCAGGTTAAAGAATCATAAACCTTCCTCTCATAAGACATCAAAAACAGGTAGCTGCTGGCCATGTACTTGTTGTTACTCTGTTTGGATGCTGTGTGTTCTCCATGATCTGGGTGCAAGTCTTGCCATCTGCCAATCAGGTCACTGCAATTGTATCCAGGTAGAATTCTTTTATCGGACAGACCACTGTGGACTTCTTAATCTGGAACTCCTCAGAGGAGAGCAAGAGCAAGGTGATAGAAGAGGGATCCTTTGGCTGTCCTGCAAGGTAGTCCAAGTGAAGGGCGGTCAAAGGCCATTTGTCTTCCCAAGAGTCCTTGGTGACTGTGGGTGAGAAAGAGTCCTGCTGCTTACAGACTCTGGGGTGAGCATCCACAATGCAGAGTGTAGGATGGGGAGCTCCTCCAAGGACTCCCCATGTTCTTAGGACTTACGCACCTGGACACTGTGCATCACTTCTGGGACCTTCCCAGGCATTGACCACCCACACAGATATCTGACCATCACCTTTCTGTCCCTGTCTCCTTCTGCCTTCCGTTTATGTGTCTCTCCTGTGATTTCTCTATAAATCCTGTGGAACTTTCCTTAGGGCACAGTTATGACATGCTTCCTCTGTTCTGTTGGGAGCTGTTTGTTTTTAATCTAAAGAGTTTATTTTCACCTAAATTGGTGTTCCCAGGGTCCCATAAGGCGGGACTTTGGTCATTACATGGTCTGTCTGCCTGACCTTGGCCTCCTCCTTCTACCCTCGTGCCAGATCTACAGGTTTTCTACATTGAATTCTGATCCTTTGTAAACTCAGAGATTCTTGCTTCTGAGAATAAAGGAGGGGAAGGATTCACTCACCTTGAACAGTTAGCTTGGTCCCTCCACTAAACACCAAACACTGTGACACAAACTAGTGCAAAAACCCCTCCCTGCCTCCCTGATCCCCAGCTGCAGCTGTGCTGGAAGCAGCTGTGCTGATGGACCTGGATGTCTTACATTGAGGTTAGTGATCTCAGTGAAAGGTCACTAACATATGTCTTCCTTTCTCTGAAGTAGCCACCTGTCCTGGGGAATAGCCTTTTCAAACATTCACCGGCATCTTTTTCATATTCTCTACAGAAGAAATACTGTTCAGGAAAAGGAGGAGCAGAGAGGAGCCTCCAGTGACAGCACAGTTAAACCTTGGGCTGCACCAGCACTGGGAACATCCCAGGACAAGCAGGTCAACTTTTGAAGCTCTTGAATCGGAAGAAACAAGAAGAATGAGCTGGGGACTCTGCCAGGTGACAGATGTCTGTGAACATACACAGTAATCACAACTTCTGCCCTCAGGTCATCTTCCTACAAATAAAGGATTGAGAACCACAAATAAAAATAGTACCATAAACATAACTGAGTAATTATACATTTGGAAGGGGTTTTATGAGTCCCTAACTAACTTTTTTTTTCCATCCACCCATCCATCCATCCACCCGTCCACCCACCATCCATCTGTCCACCCACCATCCACCCATCCACCCATCCATCCGTCCATCTGTCCATCCATCCATCCATCCATCGTCCACTTATCTTTCCATCCATTCGTCCAACCATCCATCCATCCACCCGTCCACCCATCCATCCGTCCTCCGGAGCCTGGCGGGAGGCACGCACCCACCTCGCGGCAGGCAGCGACACCCAGACTCTGGGCAAGACGACGCACTCCAGAGCGTGGCTCCCTGCTGCCACCAAAACCCTACGCGCTGGCACCGGCTTCCCTGGGAACTTCCTTCAGCCCCGGGAGCACGCAGAAAAAAACCCTAACTTTAATGTTAAGGTTTTGCTGATATTTTCTATTTACCTGTAGTAGTCATAATGTAGTTAAAGCCTCATCTTTCTAAGACTGAAATGAAATATTTACAGATAAAAAGAACAGATGTCTGGAACCTACTTGAGGAGGAGTTAATTTGTTTTGGGTGGATTGAAATCACCCATAAATTTCTTATTTTGATAGCTGGTTGATGGGCCATAGGATCATTTTTATTACTCTGTCTCATTTTGTGTTGAAAATATCCATTATAAAACTTATAACAAACTGGAGAGAAAATTATCCTAGGGCACCAGCTGGTGGTGGGGTGATTTCTGGCACTGTATCCACCAAGGCCATTGGTATAAACCTGTGTGGTCTCTGCTACACGTTGATGAAATGGTGTCATACAGGTGATATGGGATATTAGAATTCTTGAGCTGCATTCTAATTCAGAGTCTGTGGTCTGGGACAGGAGTGGCTGTGTTCAACCTCTAAGAGGAACCATTTCTCTGCCCCATCTTGTCTTTGCAGGTTCTGTGCTTGGCTTGGCCTGGTTATATAGCAGCTCTGGTGAAGATGGCTGCCATACTACTGATGCACTTGAGACACAAAGAGGCTGGC